GCTTTCACATATGACAGGCAAAAAAAAAAAAAAAAAAGCAACAAGTCTACTCAGGTTAGCTTGAGTTGTTAACAAAGAATATACTGTATGATTGTTGCCACTTTCAACAATAAAGAAAATTGTCCTTAAAATACAATCCAAAATGTTACATTTAATTAATTGTACTTCATTTGTTTCCTCATTTTAACACCTCTTAAAATCAATGGTCTTTTTAAAATTTCTTCCATGATAGATAAAATATTTACCTTTTTTGGAAATTAGTTGAATGAGTTTTTAAGACTTTAATTTCTCCTCCTACTCCTTCCAGTTCTTTTTAAAAAAAATTATGTTTAGAATTTATTTTGGAAATAAAGATAAAGAAACAGACAAATATTGCATTATTGTTTATTTCCAGAATGCAATGCAGTGACTCTGCTCTGGGGACCCAAATGGCTAGCACTGCTCCAATCTAAAAAATTTATATTTCAGCCTTTTTGCAGTGCGTTTTTCCTTAGACGCACTAATTCTAGCTTGCAGAGTCATTGTGCAGTGGAGGTTTGTTTAGAGCTCTGCTGTTATCATTGAACCCTACAGTCTGTTTTATAGCCACAAGTAAACATCACAGCCGTAATAGTTTATTTCCTCTGTTTTTCATCAATAATCCAAAACGCCAAGAGTCACATGAATTCACAAAAAGTTAAGTCAGTCTAATGTGATTTGTGGTAGTACCTGTAGATGTTTCAATTAGGCTTATGCCCGATTACAGAGCTTATTGACTGCCATACAGTTTAAAAGCTGCAAGTTTGTCCCCTGCCAGGTAATGTTTTTTTTTTTTTCAAAAATAGGCCGAACCTCCAAAAGCATTGTTTTGATCACTGGGTGGTTAGTTTAAATCTTAACCTTGCATGTTTTGCAATAAAAAAAAAAAAAAACAGGTCTTTTCTCAGAATTTTATAGTTTTTGTCTCTGTTTTTTGTGCTCTACTGGCTTGTTCCTACTTAAGCCATAACATCTCACATATGAGTTTATAATAAAAAAAATGTTGTCCCCAGCACTTTAAGGTTGGCAAGTTTGTAACACAAAGCCTCTGCAGGTGCTGGCTTAACAGTTTTCCCCTCTGGGAACAAGTTTCACATTTTCTCTATTTCACAGCTGCTTTATTGAACAGGACCACCTTTCTAACTAAGGAGGTCGTTACACCCAAACTCAGCTTGGTCTTAATGGGGCTTTAGGTACCGTCAAAGTTGAGAATTTGGACTATATGACCGGAGGTTCTGATTAACCACAGATAAATAGTAAATCACAACGCTAACACACAAGTTTGACTTAGATAGAAAACTTTCTGGCTTTGAGGTAACATTGTTTTCATCAGAATAATTTAAAAAGCATTAAACTTTAATACTACAGAAGAACCCTTTTAACCATGCTGAATGCAAACTTAAACTTATTCTGCTATTTTTGGGATTTTGACATTATAATAAGCTCAAACAGACTTTTAATGCTCAGTGGGCTCTAAAGTTTTAAGTTGGAGAGAAATTAATGAGATAAACTGTGTTTTTGCAAAAATATGCTAATTAGAGCTCAGCTGAATGATAAAATAATACACGAGGCAAAAACTAATGAAGGCACAAATCTAAAAGAACACAAACACCCCATTTCCATCTTCACACACATCAGAAAATTAAAGTATCATTGGTGGAGGCTGCAGGAGGAAGGTTGATAAAGTGTTTGGGAAGCGTTTTAACCCTGAATTAAGCATTTAAATATTAAGATAAAAGGTGACAGAGAAGAGGAAGCACTTGGAGCTATGTGACCTTTACCAAATTTAAAGCTAATAAAGAGTGCTCAAAAGGGCAGCTTTGATTACAGAAGTCAGAGGAGGTTATTTCATCTGATCGACTGATGCCAAGGTGCAAATGTTCCAAGATATGATGCTGCAGCTCTAAATCTCCTAAGAGATACGCATCAGAGTAGCCAAATAGCCATTTAAAGGATCAGAGCTGGCATAGGGTTCTGATAACAACTGTACACTGACTGTAATAATATTTCAGGTCTGAGTGGAGGAACAATAGTAAGATAGTAGATTGGTGCTTTAAAAGCGTTTTCATTCCTTTGATATGTTCCAGCATGCATGTCCAACATAAAATCCTTTTTCAGAGAGATTTTATTTTTCAGAAGACATTGTCCAAAAAGACTAGGTATAACACAAATATTTTTCAGCAATATTATTCCCCTTTGCCAGTGAATTAGGCACTGTTAGCACATAAAATGCACCTCCGATTCACATTCATGTTATAAAATTCTACTCAATGTAGAACAAGGTATCTAGGGCTTGGGCTCCTATATAGGGCCACTTGGTAATCATGAATAGTGTTTGAACTGCTTAATCTGTTGTCCAATGTTTAGTCCAGCAAGTTAATCAAGGTACACTGCTGAGAGGCACAGCTATGATATAAAGACAGCAGCAAATGAACTAAGAGGCTGGTTCAAAACTATGAGGTCTAGCTAAGGATATCTTTTTTTGAGAGAGGAAAGAGAGGAAAGCTCACAAAACTACATCAAAGAGTTCACCTTTATTTAGATTGAGTTCCTTTGGGTTTCAAACCTGCTACTTCTAACAAAAGGTTAATCATCTGTTTAATTTGGAAGTACTTTCAGACTGAATCATCATTGTAGAGTGAAAATTAATTCAAGAACTATAAGTTGTATTTCACTCTTTCTCTGAAATTAAACATTGGGTTATTTACCCTCCAGTGAGGGCAATAATCTTTCTCAGTTTTTTTTTTTTTTTTTTTTTTTTTTGCAGCATGTAGCAGAAACATCTGTACCTTTATTTAAAACTTTAAGTGTACCTGTTGTAAATCTCCCACATAAAAGATTTTTACATTTTCATGTTAGATTTCTTTATTCTGAATATATGTCTCAAACCCATCTTAGTGCTCCTAAAGTGGTTAATACAGTTAAAATGTTCATTTGGTTCCAAAAGCACATGCTGGTACTATCTTTCACGATCATACCTCTTTGCTCGGATCAAAATATGACTTAAGGCTTATTTATATTCAGAAACCAGGTCATCTGCATGTGTGTCGCAGTGAATGCAAATGTGCCTCCGCCCCTGCTGCTGACACTCTGGTGTACCTCTCCAAAATTGTAGGTGACCGCAGACAGTGCCGCAGACAAGAGGGCTCTGATTGGTCAAATCTTCATCCGGAATACACTATCCGTATTTCCTGTTTGGTAACTTACCGGCTTGTTTGGTTTGTATGATCATCATTGTGGAAAACGACTCACGAAGTTGGACCAGCTACAAGAGCGAGGTGCGCGAGAACGCTGGGACCCTTTTTTCACCTGGATATCCACTCTTTTCCCTCCATTGTAGCACAAACTTGCCCCCGCTTCCTCATCGCCTCGGCCGTATCTAGACCCACTGCTAGTTTGTGATTGTCCCTCTCGCGTTGTGGCGTGGTATAACATTGGGCAGACCACACTTCAAAATTGGGCATAAATCAAAAATATATGCAACAAGCTCACTGCGACACACAGCAGCGGGGAGCATAACCAACCCTCTACTCATTCACATGGATTAGCAGTGAGAATTTTTATAGGGCGATATAAAAAAAAAATGGGAACTTCGTTTAAAGAAAAGGAAAATGCAGCAATAAAGGCTGTGGGATGGTTTTATGCTTGCTGAGGTCAGTGAGAGGTGATTCTTAAGAGTGATTTGTGAGTTTTTCTTTTTTTCGTAAAGAGGGGAGAGTGATGGGCCTCGCTTACCTGCTCTGTCTGCCCCTCATTATTTTCCTTTTTTGAGGCTCAAAGAGGAGGTCCTCCTGAGATCCTATCATGGGTAAAGTTTGCTATATATGCGGTTTGCTACTCAAAAACTGACTTTTTCCGATGTGCTTTACAGATTTCGTTTTGTATTTTGCTCCAAAATGTGTTCAACTTTGCAACCACGTCGCTCTTCCTGCCAGACCCATGAAACACCACTGTGTAATCGGACTAAAATAGACCTGGGGTCTATATCAGTTGGCGCTACGCAAGCCCTATTGCAGAAAATCATCCTCATTGACTTTCAATGACCGCTAAATGCCACAACCTCATAGTACACGATTTTTTATCGGACGCAAAATCTGTTTCTTTGTGTTCTGGCCTTGAAAGTTCCAGTGTTGACAAGCATTAAGCATTTCAGAAAACAATATTATACAGTCAAATGGTATGATAGTATAATGGCAATTGTTAATGGCCATATAAATCCAACCTGGCCATACATGTGTAACATTAACTCTGTACACTAGACCAAGTTTACCTCAGAATGTCTATAAAATAAAAAAAATAAAAAATAGCTTTACACCAAATGATACTAACTCTCTTAAAGGTTTGAACAAAAATTGAGATTGTACATAGTTGCTTTCGGCTGCTCCTTTCAGGGGTCACCACAGCATGTGACCTTAACTTGCACAATTACTTGAGTTAGTCTTTAATGCAGAACGTCTTCCTACAACAACCAAAATTTGAACCGTAGCGATCCAAATCCCAGTTTAAGAGCTGGTATGAAATGTAGCTCTTACATGCAAAGGTGGCCTTTGCATACCTTCAATACATGAGCTTTGATCATCATCATCTGAAAAATCTTGCACGCACACAATTGTTCAGAACTGTAGGGTTTACCTAAATACAGCTAGTTCTGTAAAAAAGAACAGAAAAACAAACTATCTGATGAAATCAATGGCCTCACACGCAGACATGCAACATGATGGAAAAGGTTGGATGTAAAGAGAGTCGCTGTTAGTCAATCATGTGAAAAAGCTATAACAGAGTGGGAAGGACAAAGAGGTCTTGTCAAAATGAGAAAATAAAACTCTTGCCAACAGCAAGGTGACTCAAGTGTATCTTAAATATGTAATAAGTGGCAACTTCAAATTCAAGCGCACCATGTATGGGGTGTAAGCAGGGAAGGGGAATAGTGTTCAGTGTGAAAGCTGCACACATCAAAGTGCAGCATGCTGTTTAAAGCTTACCTGGAACAAAGCTCCCTTGCACCACCTCCTTGTACGCCCACCATCCTTCATGAATTTTCGGTGGGTTTGGTTGAGCTGTGAGGTAAAAAAAAGACAGAAGAAAAGTCATCAGCTTTTTATGTGTGAAATTCATAGCAAGAAGCAAAAAAATATGTCCTGAAGGTTTCAAAGGTGTTCGATTCCTTTCTAAAAAAACAAAAAACCTCTTAGATGGAGACCTCAGCAAAGAGAGCCTTATACTAAGCTTAGGCCTATGCAGGATTTCTTTTGTTGAGAATAAAAGCCGTTACGTCGAACCAGCTTAACATTTTAAGGGACTTTCTCTTTATGCAAAGTCTTTCACGAAATTATGGAAATGCATTTTGTAAGGATGTTTGAGCTCTAAAAGAAAGACTAAGATTAGAGCCGGGTGGTGCAGTACAGTTGAGGTGGCAATTTAAGGTAAGTACAAAAAGTGAGGTTTGACTGGGCATTAGCCACTAAGACTTGAGGATATTGCTTTTCACACCTCTTTCTGTTCATTTCACATACAGGAAAAGAGAAGTTTAATCACACTTCAGAGGTTTTCTGCTTGCTTGGCTTTAATGGAGGTTGAGGTGACCAAACATCTTTCATCTTTCTGCTATCCTTCCTAACAGCCTTGCTGCAGTAAAGCTGGATAGCAAGCTCAATTTCAGATGGGCGAACTGGCCAAGCAGAGTCCAGAAAAGGCTATTTAAGCAGCACATGCAGCCTCAAAAGCTCTACTGCAGAAGTTTGTATTCAAAACAAGTATTCACTTACTAAATCTCTGATGTTTATAACAGCAGTTTGTTTGCTTTTACCTTAATGTAGGCCTTCCCAACCCATTGAACTTGTTTGTTCCAGGCCAGCACTTATTGACTAACATTAAAATTCAATTTGGTTACATGGTGCTTTTTGTAGTTGTTAATTTTCATGGTGTGCTTTTATTAACTCAACAACTTGATTCTTAAATATGCAAATCTTTCTAAAAGGCAGTGTTTATGATAATAATAATCACTAGCCTCTTAATTACTGGTAACCCTGTTAAAAATACACAGAGAAGCTTTAACATAAGTACATTTATTTAGTAAGAGTGAGAAAAGGCTTTTGTGTTTTTTAGATCTAGGGAAATACATGGCCATGCACATACAAACATTGGTTAATCTAAATAAACTATCAATTGAATATTTGAAATACGTATTTTCAATTTTTTTATACTTAAAGCTACAGTGTGTAATTTTTAGCGACATCTAACATCCAGACTGCTGACTGCAGCAACATGAACATCTCCCCCCCACCGCTTCTCCCCCCCAACAGTACAGCGAGCGTTACGGGACAAAATGTCTTCCAAGACACCTTCTCAAGTGATGAGGTTTGTTTACATAGATCATTTTAATACTGCCATCTATTGTTCAGTACTGTCTCAGTTCATCTCTCTCAACTTGCCGTAGTTACTTTCGAGCGTAATGGGCGATCTCGCAATCACTAGTTTGTTGGCTCTGCGCTGCCGTAGCGCAAAGATGTCTGCCTCCATGGCTGCGAGATCCGCTTCTATGTAATTATAAATAACGAATTCTAAGGCAATGCAAATATTAAGGTTAAGAGGCTGAGCTCGTAGATGATGATAAAATAACATAGTTATGTATAATATATTACATTTCTGACTGTATATCCCTGTAATTATTACACACTGTAGCTTTAACTGCATTAGGGCGACAGTGGCGTTGGATGTGGGAGCTTGCCCTGAAATCGAAGGGTTGACGGTTCAAGCCCCGACTCCGACTTTCATTGTCTTTGTGTCCTTGGGCAAGACACTTCACCTGCATTGTCTACTGATGGTGGTCAGAGGGCCCGGTGGCGCCAGTGTACGGCAGCCTCGCTTCTGTCAGTGAGCCCCAGGGCAGCTGTGGCTACAATGTAGCTTGCCACCATCAGTGTGTGAGTGTGTGCGTGAATGGGTGAATGAATGTAGTGTAAAGCGCTTTGGTCAAGTCTCCTAACTTGAATAAAGGCGCTATATAAGTACATGCCATTATGAAGTATATTGTTATTATTACTTCTTTTATAGATATATGATTAAGTAATTGAGAATGGTATTTATTTATTAACGTTTAAAATCTATCCATATTATGTATTCATATGTCCTGTTTTATTCAGATCTTCATAAGCATAAATATCAGTCATAATGTTGGTGAATCAATCAGAATTACCTGTTAGTCAAAGTGTCATTTAAAGATATTTTAAGCGGGAAGGTGCACCTCAAAACTACATGTATGTAGTCACTGTATCAATATTATGACTTTATCTTTAAATATATTTTTTGGAATGACAGAGTTCCTCTGATAGACCACTCTAGCTTCTAGGCTTGCTAAAATAACTGGGCAATACAAGGAATGCGAAGAAAGAGCTTTTAAACCTAGCCAGGGGCTCTGGGATTCCCATTGCTTTAATATCATCTGTAGTTACACAAAGTTAAAGGTATAGTGCAGGGTGTTCATTTTCCAGGTGGATCATAAAAATAAGTGGTACGCGTAATTGTCAATAATTCTGGTGATATGTTTACGTAAAGACGTCATATGTGCCCATCCCAAATTTCACTTACTGTACCAGTGGTGAGTCTGAAATAGTGGAAAAACTGCAAATCTTCTTTTGGAAATTAAGCTTGTATGAGCGATGCACACACAACTTTTAAACAGAGCGTGCACGAGGACAAATGGGCTTGTGCATGCTCTCACACTCGCTTAATAGGTGTTCCCTCTTGGGAGCAGGTACAGGGTTGTGGATTTGCTTCTTTTTTTTAAGTGGAGAGGGCGGGTCTTTTCAAAAATTCACAAAATTCCTTCACTATATCTATAATGTAAAGAAGTATGTTATTCAAAAATGTGAGTGCATAGTATAAAATGTAATAAGTTTTGCCAGGGAATTTTCACACTGTTCGGAAGTAGGTACTATGATAAACTGGGCTGAGGGTACTCTCAGGGCTGCCCTTTGGGTTTATTTTTATGTTCTCTCTAATTCTGTGTCTTTGTAGTGGTTTTCTGCCAGTGTTGAGTTTTTTGTGTTACTCTCTGTTGCCCCCTAGTGCCAGTTTTACTTTCTATTGGCTCCCTTCTAGTCATTTCTATCCACACCTGCTCCATATCAGCTGATTATCCCATTCTTTGTTCTGTCTCCCACATATTCACTCTCTGTGCAGTTCTTTAGTGGTGGTTTCTTGTTGCTTAAAAGCTAAGCTGCTCATGTGTGTTTCTCCCTGGCATCTCTTGGTTTTTTGGTTTCTTTTCAGTGTTTTTGGATTTGTGCTTCTGCTTCTGCTATGAACTTTCCATTAAATCAGCAAAACTCATCTCTACGTCCTCATTTCTGCATTTTTGTCCTAAGAAACCTCCACACAACCTCCACCTAATCACTCAATGTATATATATATATATATATATATATATATATATATATATATATATATATATATATATATATATATATATATATATATATATATATATATATATAAATTCTGATTGATCCTGAGACATATGATGATCAGAGCATTCAAAGATAATTCAATGAAATTTAGTTAAAAAAATTCTTCATTAATCCCACAGGAAAATTAAATTTAATAACTATAAAATATTCCAAATAGTGTACAGTGTATATTTAAGTGTAACCCAAGAGTTAATTCTGTCTAAAATAATGAGAGCAACTACAGAAGTTAGACAGTTGTTTTCTGTTTGCGTGAACAATCTTGTGTAAATGGACTCCATTTATTGAACGCCTTTCTTGTCTCCCAGACCACTTAAAGCACTTTTACACTCAATTTCCAATTAGCTATTGACACACACACTTATGAATCAAGTCCCAGACTTGTTGGCAACAAGAGATTCATCTTATCCAAAGACTTTCGAAAAACAAGGCGAGAAAAAGACAGAATCTAACTCATAACACTCCAACTATTAGATTACAACTTATACTGCTTTCCAACCTTACCTTAATGTAACTTTCTGTTTTTTAACTTATTAAAAATGCTGCTACATTTGAAACTAAAAGATTTTTTAGTTTCAAACTAATGCAGCCTTGAGCATGCTGTAATCATTGCTTAGGTACTTGCAGTCAATAAAATAAGCAACAATCATTTCCTGGAGCTCAGCAGCACTGTGTGAGAGGAAAAGAAGGAAAAGCAAAGTGGCACAAGAAGCCCTGTCCCATTTCTCACAATGACTAGCTGAGGTCTGAAACACTCTTCCTGACATCAGCAAAAAGAAAATGCTTTCGATCTATAAAAGGAAATGCAGACTAGATACTGTGGAAGGCAAGAGGGGAGAGTAGGTCTTGATGGATCGCTGTATTTCATTTTACAGGGTCCCAGCGAATGCATGATGCTTAAAACATCACAGAGGTGGTTTAAGAGCAGGGAAATGGCTTTATCCTGTCTGCTGTGTTCCTGGATAAAACCATTTCTGTTTTACGGGCATTTTGGGCCATGAAGATAATATCACAGATAGGGATCACCTTTGTTCAGGAACATGTTTACAGAATAGAACAACTGACATTTGCAATATTTACTTCATATTTGAAATACAAATGTGAAGTATATGTGGTAACAGTAGCTCAATAATAAAAGCACTCTTCTTACTGCCCCTTAACAAAGCTGATGGATGTAAATAAAACTAGGTATAAATTATTTCTACCTGCTAAAAAGCAAAAAAAAAAAATGAATTTAAGCATTGTAAAAACTTCCAGCTGCCTTTCACAGTCTCAATCACATCATCCACTAACAATTCTCATAGTTCAGTGGGGATCTCAGGAAAGGTTTAGAATGTATTCATTCAGACATGTAACCTTTTAAATGTATCCCTCACTGGCTGTATACACTCATGATTTTCTGCTGATCTAATAATTAGGGTATTGCAGTTTTTGTTTATTCATTTCTTTCTTGCTAAACAATCCCTTAAACTGGTCCTCAATAAATTTTAACTAGATTTACTATTTCTTTATAAATTCTGAGTTACTCAATCTGTCTGAATATAGAAAACAAGTGAACTAGTTAAGAAAAATAAACTGAACTGAAGAAATGT